CAGAAGTCTGGTCCTCAGGGACATCACAACCCCTTGGAGCCGGACAAGGATAAGGCTGGGGATGGACACCTTCATCCTTCTCCTGGTGACCCATTTACACCAGGACAGGTAACAAACCCCACTTTGCTGTTTCCCACAGCACTGACTGAATCAGGCTCTTGTGGATCCCAGCTTGGTCTTTCATCTGGGAGTGCACTCCTGGAATGCCTTCAAGACACAAAAGCTCCATGGACACGCAGATGAATCGTGCTGACTCAGCAGAAAGCAATATTGCAGGGGCTGGTCTGCACCACGTGGCTTTGGAATAATTACACCGTGTGGCTCCCAGGCTGGGAGTTGTGTGTGGTTGTGATTCAGTTTAAATACCTGCAAAAATCTGTCAGGGTGGAAAAGAAATTCCAGGAGGAAATGTGTGCCGAGAGGAAACGGGAGAGCCTGGTGCATCCCACCCCACCATGCCTGGATAAGGGACCCCCACACAGACATCAAACCCCAAGGAAACCTCTGCTAGTTGAGAGCAAACTGCTCTATCTGTAAAGTTTTCTATGAAAACTATTACTTGGAAAAGGAATTCAAGTGGGTGTTGGGTCATTTCTTTTTTGCTTTACACATGATTTGGGAAAGGGAATAAATTCCCAAGTTTCCTGCATGGCAAAAATCCCATTTCAGAGGGTTTGGAGCAAATCCTGGTCCTTGCCTCAGTCTCCCTGTCTGACTTTGTTCTGCATACCAATTTCTCCATATCTCTGCTTCCCAGCCATAATTCAGGGATGTAAATGATATAATTTCCCATCCTCATTATTTCTGGCTACTGGAGACAAGGATTTATTCAGTAGAAAGAAATCCATATGTCATTTAAAGTGCCTATCAAACAGGGCCTCGTACACTATTGGGATGTAAACTACTGTAAGGGCTCATAAAATATTGTTTATAGTTCAGTATAATAATATTTAAAATTATGATAAAATACTAAAAATACTATAAAATATTAACTTAATATAAATATTAGCATAATGCATTAATTATTTATACTTTCATATCAATAATAAACTACTATTTATAGCATTTTAATGTGGAGAGCTTCCCACGGCTGCTTTCTCCACCCCTGAAGAATCTTCTATAATCTAATTTTTATGGCAGATGGGAATTACAATATCTCTGTCTGGTACAGGCACAGCTGGGATTTCCAGACCTTGTTCCCCCAAATCTGAGCACTATGAGATGCCACACATCCAGCAATGATCAGACCCCCCATGAGAAGCTCTGTAGCAGCTTCTGATATCTCCTAATCTTTGGAGCATCCCATCATCTCTGGAGCTTTGGCAGGGCTGGGCTGATGGTTGGACTCAATGATCTTATAGGTCTCTTCCACCCTGAATGATTTCTGTGATTCTGGGAGAGGAGTAGCCACCCCTTTGGGTCCAGCTGTTCATTGTGGATGGGTTATATCCTTTCCTACATCCCTCTCATGCTGACGGTGCTAATTCCCTTCACAAGGTGATTTTCAGCCACCTGATCAGAGGTGGGGCTCTGGTAAAACCCACAGTGTCAAGCCCCAACAGCCCAATTTTCACCCCAAAACCTAGGTGGCACATCTGGGTACCAATCTCTCCATCCCCATGATCCAACGATTCCCTCTTCCTCATACTCCACAGGCTGCTACCATATTTTTACAGCAAAGCAGGATGGATTTCAGCAAATCCTGCCCCAAAAACCCAGCTCTGAGCACTGGCAGGCCGCGGGTGCAGCGAGAGGCCCCGGGATTAGGCTGCAGCAGGGCAAAGCCGTCGGCACGGCAGATTAGTTGGGTCAGCAATTAAACATTGGCACTTACGCTGCCGGCAAAAACCGGGCTCAAGGACAAAATCAGTTCCTCCTTAATGGCTGCAGCCACTCCAAAATGCTGCATCTATCAGCTGGGAGCATTTCTGGGATCACAAACAAGGCGGCTGTGTCACGGCTGGCTAAATATAGTGCCACCCGGGTGGCCGCCGTGCCGCCTGTGCCACCGGAATTGCTGGGTACGCTGATTTTATTTTTTTTTTCCTTAGGGATGGCTATGACGAACAGAAATATGAGGCTGGAGGGATAGCAGAAGATGGAGGCCCTGGTCCAAATGCAGGAGAATAAAGTCTGGAGTTTGCACACCTGATCGAAATATCCCTCACCTCCCTCCTCCTCCTCCCTCTCCTCCTCCTCCTCCTCTCCTCGGCAGTATCCAAAACAAGACTATAGTAACAACAGGCACAAGTACACCAGCAAGACATGAAATATGTCCTGGTTTAAAGTCACAGTGCTCCCGTGGTGATGCCAAGGGGGATAAACACCAACCTGGAGCTGCAGGGGGCAGAAAGCCCCCACAGCCACCCTGTCCCTTCTGTCCCCTCCCAGAGCACCGGCTGGGGCTGGCTCAGCAGGACCACAGCAAAGGCAGGGATGTCTGCATTTAGCTACATATTTAATCTCTTTTTTTGGCCTGAAAAGGGGTTTTTAAAGGCAATGCAGCTCCGTGCTTGCCTCACCATAACAAAATGGGGGGGTTGAAGGTCAGCTTCGCGGGGGATTCGCAGCGAAAGGCATTTCTGTACCGACATCTCCACCAACCCCTCTCCTGCAAGAGGGACAGTTCTGTCCACATAGAAGCTATATAAGTAATAATCCATTACACTTCTTATTTTAAGCCTGAAAAATCACCTTTTTTTAATTCAATCAGCCTAAATAGCTCTCACAGCCGTAAATGCATAAACCCCTATTTTGGGGTGCAAGAAGAAATCCTCATGTTCCTATCGAGGTCTGCGGAGCCAGCGGCATTCAGGGTTATCGAACCCTCCATGCCCAGGTGTACCTTCCCAAATTTCAGCACCTTCCCAGCAGGTGCTGCCCTGCCAGCAGAAGCAGTTTTCTGTGCAATTCCTTCCCTCAACCCTATTATATAATCAGGCTTTAAAGCAGGGGGGTTTTTTGCTTTATCCAGAGCTGCGGGATCCCACCGTGTCTTCTCGGTAATTACTCAGCACAAATGTGCCGTAAACAACATCCCCAAATTTGCTCGCGCCCCGTCTCGCTGGTCTTCCATGGAAATCTCATGGAAGCTTTGCTTACCTTGTTCCTCAGCCCCGTGCATCCTCCTCTCCCGGCTCCTGCACAGCGATGGGGAGCCCGGCCGTGTCCCGCACGCCGGTTTTCCGCTCGTCATCCAGCGGCAATCCCGGGTCACGGGGCGACGGCCATGGGTTGGGACGCTGCTGCTGCCTGGGAACTGCGCGACGCTACGGGGCCCTGCTGGGTTATTTTTGGGATTACAGAGACTCAGGAAAGGATGAGGATGGAGGCAGACATATCACATCGTCTAAAATGTGGCATGGATTGGGATCTGGAGTCTGCAGGTCTGAGCCACCCAGCACAAACCTCAACCAGCTTTTTTTTTTTTTTTTCCTTTTCTCTAATTTTTTTTTTTTTTTTTTTTTGGAGAAGGTTACATGCTGAGTGGATTCAGCAGAGATGTGGCACGTTAAAGCTTTGCAGAGCTGGGAAAAGGGCAGTGTGCTGATCCAAGCACACCTCGGGCACTTCCAGGCAGGCAAGCAGTAAGTGATGCTGTAAACATACAGTTGGAAATAGAATTATGGAATCATTTAGGTTGGAAAAGCCCTTTAAGACCATAAGAGTCCAACTGTTCCCCCAGCACTGCTGAGGCCACCACTGAACCTCCCAAGTGGCATAACCACGGGGCTTCTAAATCTCTCCAGGGATGGGGACTCCACCACTGCCCTGGGCAGCTGTGCCAGGGCTGGATAACCCTTTCCATGAAGAAATTTTGCCTAATATCCAACCTGAAGCTCCCCTGGAGCAATTGATGGTGATGACTGGCCAGAGGCATTCCAGCATATGCTGCAGGTCAGGCTGTAGAGATGGAGACACATCCCTTGTGCCCCCAGCTCCCCTGACAACAAGGCTTTGGTCCCAGCTGGATTTTGGCACTCTGCGCATATTCCTCTGCTTTTTGACCTCCAAACTTTTGTTTTTAGACTGAGTTCATTTTCTAGCTTATATAGCTTTTTCCTCCTTGTGTTTGTCTGCCCTTGCACCCTCAGGCAGACCTGCATGGAGGCAACACATCCCTCCTCTGCCTCTGGATTGCCACGATCCTTAACCCTGGCTTCACTCACACCCCTCCTGGTGGCTCTGGCTGCTTCACCCAGGGACACCAAGGCTGACTCAGCTGTGCCTCTGCTCTCTCACCTTCCAGGCAGCAGCTTCACTGCTTATCACCCTGTTGTTTTACTCTCCTAATCATTCCTGAGTCTCTGCTTCCTCCAAACAGGGAACTGAGAGCCCCAAGCTGCTGTTTGGGAAAGAAAGGAAAAAGCAAAAGGCGCTGGGATCTGCGAACTGGTGGTGCTGGGAGGAGGCACTTCAGCTTAGGGTGTCTAATTCCCAGTCCCAACCACACGTGACAGATTACACGGGGCACAGGCAACAGCCAGAGCCTCCCTGGGCCTAATGCTCTCCAGGACTTTACTGGGAGAAGTTAAATAGGAAAAAACCCCTGACTTTTTATGCAACAAGGTGTCCCTGCCCACAGCAGGGGAGTGGAATGAGGTGGGTTTTAAGGTCTCTCCCAACCCAAGCCAATATGGGATTCCATGATTCTATGATCAGGATGGAAGGGCAGGAGGAAGTGGCATCATCTGCTTTGTCAGAATTGAATTTTTAACCAATATTTTTGATTATATCAAATAATGTATATCAAATTGTATCAAATAATATCAAATAATGTATATCAAATTATATCAAATAATATCAAATAATGTATATCAAATTATATCAAATAATGTATCCTGGCTGTAAGACAGGACTCAAAGAGCAGCACTGCCCCCAAGCCCAAAACTGGGGGGATTTTCCATGTTCCAGTGGGGATGCTCCTCCTCCTCAGCTCCTACAAAGAAACCCAGCCTTGTGAAGGTATAACTCACACACAAACACTGCCAGCACAGGGATCAGCAGGAGAAAACCTTTATTTACATCGTTTGAGCAGTAGCAGAGCTGCAGCGATTCACTGGGAAGAAACTCCAGGAAGAAAACTCAGCTTGACATTCCAGGGGGGAGACCCTCCTCCCACCACACAGTATCTCAGGTCAGTACAAAATTGCTGTCACTTTACAAAAGGTCTAAGATTCACAGTTAAGTACCAAAGGGGAGGGTGAGGGGGATGGGAGGGATGGGACCCCATCCCTGCTGGAATTTGGTCTATGAAAATGCATCGTACGACAGGTCTGGTAGAAAAGTCCATCCCGAGGGCTGGACATGCACAGTCACAGGATTTCTATACCTACTATAGGCCTCAGAGCCTGGAAAAGAAGTACTCAGGTGGCTCTCCTGGGGCAAAGGCATCTGCAAACACTGTCCTGCCACTGGGCATTGCATGGGAGAAGTCTCTCTTCAGGAGGAATTTTGCAGGAGGGAAGGATGAGACACAAGAGGTGGGCAATGCGAAAGAGGGAGCAGCTCCTCTGCCCAGCATTCAGCCCTGGCAGAGCCACCCACCATGGCAAGGCTGCTTTTATAGCCTAAAAAACTCCCCCCCACCCCCCATCATCTCCTCCCCTCGTGCCCAATGCTGTTAGAAAGAAAACAGCACACACATTTTGGCTATTTCTAGATTTGTGTTAAAACCAGCCCAGACCTTCGTCTGAGGGTCATGGGAAAATCTAAAATCTTTCTTAAAGAGGATTTCATTGGGGGGTGGAAGATTTGTGGCCTCCCAGCAGGGGAGCTCCAGGGAAAAGGAAAGGCCCCTGGGGACAGCAGTGAAACCTGACAATCCCTTTGCTCCCATCTGGAAAATTCCCACCCAGAGTGGGGTGGGAGCACTCCCCTGGCACTGCTTTCACCCACAGGCAGGTGATGAGCAGGTGGCACATGGGCAGTGATGGTGTTTGGAAGATGCCCCTTCTGGCTCCATTGGTGGGAGAGCACCAGGACAAAGCTGGCTCTGACAGAGAGAGCAAACATCAGGAGCTCTTCCAACAGCACAAGGATAGAGGAGGCTCAGCTGCGATAAATAAACCTGGGAGTGTGCTGAAGTTTCACGCGTGGAGCCCATGCATCCCTAAAAAACCACTCCCCCTCTCCCGCTGCAGGGCCACTCTCCAAGCAAAAGTAACCCCAGTGACAGTCCAGCAGCAGAAACATGCCAAGGCTGCTCTAATTAATCAAAGAGGTGGCAGGGAGTGACAGGATTGTGCCCTCCTATGAGCACCCCTGGCAGACAGCTCGTCCTGCAGATCCAGCAGCTCCCTGCAGAGATCCCAAAAGACAATGCTAAAATTCAGCGCTTTTTGTTTGTTTTAAACCTTTAAAAATACACATCTTGCTTTTTTTTTTTTCTTAAATATATAAGCTATAAAATAAGGCAACTCGAGGAGACAAAGGGAATGTCCCCATTGCTTAGGTACTGCATCCCACCACCAAAGAGGGTGACAGTACTTCCAGTTGAGAAAAGTGACTCTGCCCGGCCCCAACACACTCCAACGGTGCTGTAAATCATGGGGAAACACCTCAGCAGCCCCTGGATGCATCCCAAGAAAGGAAGGATCTCTGGGATTTTATGGATAGGGAGTCATTTAGCCAGGGATGCTACAGCCACAGCAGGAACAGCTTAGGGAACCCCCATGGCCAGGAGACCTCAGGGACGAAGGCAGCACAGAAGATGGAATGAGTTGATTTCTCCCCAAAACTGAAGCACACATAAATCTTCGGGAGAAACTCTTATAACATGACTATCTTGTAGTATTAAAAGCTATAAACAAGGTAAGCACAAAGGAGTGCTACTCATTCCCAGTCCAGATCCTGCTCAGTCTCACAGCATTCCAAAAAACCAGACTGTACAGCAGCTTTTTATAACATGGAATTCATCTCTCTCTATGGAAGGAGTACAAGTGTGTGTTTTTCCTCCAATGTTTTTCCTCTTTTATGTATATTAATGCTGGAAATGTGATCTTCACATCTCTGAGCTTTGTAGTATACACGTTTTCCATGTTGCTCCCCAGTTCCCACTGGGCTAAGTGTTGCTTTCTAGAGCTTTATTTCTCTAAGAAATAAATTTAATATAAAATAATTTATAGGAAAGAAAACTCAGCCTAGAGAGTACTCAGCAGTAAATAGTCCTGTGGAGCAACAGGATGGCACATTGTAGGCTCAAACAGGGACTGGGGGTTGGAAGGGGGTGGCAAGGACACCATGGCAAGCTGTGTAAACCTGGAATGATCATTACCTGGGTCTGCATCACTGATCCATGATGGACCATAGGCAGGAATAATTTATAGCCTCAAAAGAGGAAAAAACCCCTTATTCTAACAAATCTGACCTTATAAACAAAGATCTTTTCACCCTGACACTGGCTATACTGGCACCCCCCCATGGCATCCAGTACACCATCACCTAATCTGAGCACAGCCCTGGCACTGCACAGAGGAACCAAATCCATGGTGGAGTGAACTCCTGGTCCTTGGCACAAGTGTTTAGTTCTCCTCGTCCGAGAGAACAGGTGGGATCTTGCTGGACAGCAGGGTGTACACATAGGGCCAGATTTTGTTGGTCTCAGTGCCCGAGAAGGAGTGAAGGATGCCTCTGCTCCTGGAAAGAGATGGGAGAAGAGGTCAGCACCGGCCTTCCCGCGGACAGGGGTATCCAGAGGCAGGTCGGATGGGGCTTGGAGCAACCTAGTGGAAGGTGTCCTGCCGATGGAATAAGATGGTCTTTAAGGTTCCTTCCAACCCAAACCATTCCAGGATTCTGTGATTCTCCCCCCTCTCCTGCAAGGGTGATTTTGGCCCCTCAAGGACCACTTCTGCACTTAAAAACACCCCCAGGATCTCGCGCCTTTTCAGCAGTGGATTGTCACCCTATGTTAATCCACCTATTCCCAAGTTGGCCAGGGCACAACTGCCCCAAACTACCAGGGGACAAGCCCTGAAACACTCCTCTGCTCCCAGCAGACCCATCTGAGCCAGCGCCAGAGTCTTGCCCTTCTCCTGCCCTCTTGCCAACCACCCCATGTTCCTCTCAAACCCCTCAGGGCCCTGGACTGATTTTTGCATGGCATGGACCACCCTGGATCTGTGCCTTCTGCTACAGCCAATATATCCCTCCCATTGCCAGCCCTGGCAAAGCTCTTTATGGAGCCCAGCAAGACAAACAGGAGTTGTGAATTCCTTTAGATCAACCTACATCCTCCAAAGGAGGCCCCTTCAGGGCCAGGGCTTGGCTGCAATGAAAGGCTGGGCTTGTGCTGCTGAGCACAGTGATCTGCATCCCAAAAATCTGCTGGGGCCGTGCCGGGGCTCCTGGGGCTGTGGGGATGTGGGCACAGGACTGGGCTGGTGAAACAGCACTCGGGCCTGTTTTTACAGGCATGCTGTGATTTTTTTCTCATGGTCCAACTCACTTGTACAACTCTATTACAGGTTTTGCAGCATCTTTGTACTTTCTGAGCCTGGCAGCCACAGCCTCGGGTCTGTCATCCTCGCGCTGCACCAGGGGCTCTCCCGTCAGGTCATCGATGCCCTGCAGGAGGGAAACACCATCAGCAGATGTGGCCACCAGCCCCATCATCCAGCTGGAGCTCCCTGACAAACACCTCATCCTGCTCTGCATCCATCCACCATCTCGGGCAGCATTTAGCATAAATCCCTTATATCTATTAACATTTAGCATAACTCATCAGGCAAATCGGTGCTCAGTGCTGCTACCTGGGATTGCTCTCTCAATGCTTTTTTCAGGATCCCAGCTCATGAAGAGAAAAGCTTGTCTGATCTTTTCCTTTCATGGATCATTCCCAGCTGGCTCCATGGGCTCTTACCTGGACATGGGGGGGGTTGAAGTCCATGTTGTAGACCCTCCCACTGCCCGGGTGGACCCAGCGGGCGCTCAGACGATCTTTCAGCGTCTCGAAGGGAATGTTCAAGCTGATCACCAGGTCCAGCTCACAGATCCTGTCCAGAGCCTTGGCTTGTCCCAGTGTGCGAGGAAAACCTGTGCAGTCACCACAATGTAAAGGGGCTGGAATGAGAGGTAGGAAAGCAGCAAGAATGGAACCAAACCCATCCATCACGCAGCTCCAGAGCTGCAAACCCACTGCAGCTCCTCCCTGTGCTGTAGCACAAGTGGTGTGAAAGGCAGACACCACCATATGGCTACAATAAAAAATAGCTCCCACAGCACCAGCTCCTGAAATATGACACATAGGTCGCTGTGGGCTCAGATTTTCCTGCAAAGACGTGTCTGGTGTCCCTGCACGGGGGCTGGGGGCAAGTAGGAGGGAACAGGCAACAGCAAAACAGGAAGAAATGCTGGAATTACAAGCAAAAACCTGAAGGAAACAAAGTGCTGTACATAGATAAGGGACAAGCTGCTGGTTTACATGGAGGGCATCAAGGACACTGTGATCAAATGGTCCTGTCCTCTGAAGGTGGTGGGTGCTTTGGAAAAGCCAGTGAGTAGCTGGGAGCTCAGAATCATAGAATCCCAAGATGGTTTGGGTTGGAAGGGACCTTAAAGACCTGAAGGGAGCCAACAAGAAAAATGGAGAGGGACTTTTTACAAGGGCCTGGAGGAACAGGACAAGGGGGAATGGCTTCCTACTGCCAGAGGGCAGGGTTAGGTGGGATACTGGGAAGAAATTCTTCCCTCTGAGAGGACAGGTTGCCCAGAGAAGCTGTGGCTGCCAAATTCCTGGAAGTGTTCAAGGCCAGGTTGGATGGGGCTTGGAGCAACCTGAGCTACTGGAAGGTGTGCCCACCCATGGCAATGGGTGGAACAAGATGAGCTTTAAGGTTTCTCCCAACCCAAACCCTTCTGGGATTCTGTGATTGTTTGATTCCAGTTCCAACCCTGCTGCCATGGAAAAGGACACCTGGCCTTACCTGTTTGCTCTCAGCATCTCCTCCCCCTCCACCTCAGGTGGCTTTTGGCTTTGAGGAACCACTTCACACACATGTTGAGGCAGTAAGAGGTTTTTCTTGGCGTGTCTCCAGCTCTGCTCTGCTCTCTGGCTCTGCTTCATGAACAACCCATCCCGTTTCCCTGCCTTTCCCTTTCCCAGCCGCGTGCCAAAGGCTCAGCTGGACATGCACATGCTACTGCCAAAGGCAGGGGGAAGAAAGACCTGCAGGCAGATGTCCCTGCCAGCAGGTCGGCTCCTACCTCCCCTCCCTCCACCAGCAAAGGCACCTTCTGGCTTTTCTCTCTCCTGGTATTGCCAAACCATTAGCAGCAAGATGATGTTTTGAGGGGGGCTGGCATTTTCCTGTCCAGAGGGGACTCACCATCGAGCAGCCAGTGCTGTTCCCGCCGCTTCTCCAGCTCCGTCATCATCACGCGTGTGATGACGTGGTCGGGCACCAGAAGGCCTCGCTCAAGGTACTGCTTTGCCAAGACACCAACTTCTGTTCAAGAGAAGAAATAAAAAACCCAAGAGCAATAAAAAACCCCCATGACATTTCCAGTTAAAAAATATTGCTCCCCCTCAAATCCTGCCTGTCCTCTCAAATGGCTCATCCATCGCTCTGCTCACAGCTGCTCTTGGTAGCTGGGGCCACATGGTCATTTTGGTGCTGGAGAAATGGAAATACCTGAGAGCAGGAACATGGTGATCCCAGCCAAGCCTTTGGCTGACAGAGCAAGGGGCACTGGCACCAGCTGGATGTGCCAACACATGGAGCTCCTTTGGTTCAGGAAGTGGATCCAGTGCAGTTACAGATGACACTGGCACAGGTATGAAATGTCCTGAAGACACTGAACCTGCTTCCCACCCACAGGGCTTGAAGATTTCAGAGCCTCTACTTAAGATATGCTCCCATAAGAAAGTTATTCCCAAAAGCAAATCCTTGAGAACGTAATTGACGTATAATTGCAAGGTAAACACTCCTTCCTGGGCTTCTGCCTGGCTCCTGCATCACTCGGCTTCAGCTGCTCCTAGAAGCTGGAGAGGGACTTTGGACAAGGGCCTGGAGTGACAGGACAAGGGGAATGGCTTCTCACTGACAGACAGCAGGGTTAGATGGGAAATTGGGAAGGAATTCCTACCTGTGAGGGTGGGGAGGCCCTGGTACGGTTTGCCCGGAGAAGCCCTGGATGCCCCATCCCTGAAGTGTCCAAGGCCAGGTTGGACAGGGCTTGGAGCAATCTCGGCTCGGGAAATGTGTCCCTGCCCATGGCAGAGGGTGGAACTAGAAGATCATAGAATCACAGACTGGTTTGGAAGGGACCTTGTTCCAACCTCCCCAGTTTAGATGGTCTTCCAACCCAAACCATTCCGTGATTACAGTTTGCCTGTGATTTTCTTGGAGCCACTCGGAGACACAAGGAAACTGTTTAGGGAATGCAAATATTCTTTGCCCCCATGTGTGATAAGTCCTGCTCCTGCCACCAGGAGAAGTCCAGCCTCTTTCCCCTTGGACCAGGACGTGACAGACACCTTCTCTTCTTCCCACAACAGCTGTCACCAGAAATGAACAATTTTGCAATCTGTTTGTTGCATGATTTCTGGTGAGGACAGCACATTTTAGTCCTCTCCGAGTATGAGTCCTCTCTAAAAATAAGCCACAGGATCCTGCATTTTGAGGCAGGCTCTTGTTTTCCAGGCTGCAGCAAGATGTCAAAGTGGGCAGCACGTGCACCTGGCTGTGGGATGAATTCCTGAGCTACAGGAGGGGGTTTTTGCAAGCTATACAGTTCTTGGAGAGAATTCATCTGATCTAAGGGAGAAACCAGCCCAAACAGATCCCCCTGGGAGTATGGGGTTGGGTGTGTGCAGGAAACCTTGTGAACTCCCAAAATGATCTGCAGAGGATGCCTGGCTGGAAAGCAGGGCAGGTGGGGCTCCTGGGTTGAATCCAAAATCCAAAGAAACTGCTGGGAAAATGCAAATATTCTTTCCCACTGTGCGTGACAAGTCCTTCTCCTGACATCAGAAGAGGTCCAGCCCCTTTCCTCTTGGACCAGAGGCCAAGAATCAAGAATTTTGGAATCCAGAATCCAACCTGCCTCAGAACGGGCAGGCAGCCGGCGCTGACTCACCGGCCTGCGAGGCTGAGTCACCGCAGGGACCGGGATCACATCCCACTCCCTCTGATCCATAAAGGCATTCCAGCTCGCCCTGCTGAGCAGCTCTTTGCTCAGGACCACAGTGATTGCCAGGAACTGAGGGCAGAAAACACCTTTTCTCAATGACAAGTTCTCTGTCACTGCCCAGACGTCACCGGCGCTGCCGGCAGTGATCCTGCTCAGAAAAGCAAAGGACTCACGGATGGAAACGATACACTTATGCAGCCAGCATGCAGACCTGCGAGGGCAGAAATAGTATTGCATCTGCCTACGTGGTTTGATATTTATTCACATGGTCTGCACAGTGCCAGAGGCTCGCAGGGAACGTGCTCCCTGGCAGGGCAGGGCTGATCCCGGGGGCAGGGATGTTCCCGGGGCAGGAATGTCCTCGGGGCAGGGTTGCTCCTGGGGCAGAGCCGGTGACCACAGAGGCTGCAGCTGCCACAGAAGGTCTGGTTGTCACCCCGAGGAGGGGTGGCCATCCGAGGGACCGGCTGTGGCTCGGCAGGGCTGCTGGAGCTGGGCCTGGAGCTGCAAACCAAAACACACCGAGCCCCAGTTGGGGCTGGGAATACAGTCTGGGAATACAGGCCCACAGTCCTGCATCCCAGAGGCTGCAGCTTTCCCACGCCCCTGATACGGGTGGTCAGCTCTCCACTGCTCTGTGATGGACAATTCCTGCTGTTGGGAATGCTGCTCCTCTGTGCCTGCCGTGTGTGCCGGGGGGACACACCAGCACGGGGACATGGAATGCATTACTGTGGGGGTCCACACACCAGCACAGAGTGCTGACTGCTTCCAGAAAGCTCCTGGAGCTTCTCCCTCCTCCAAAGCACAGGCAGCACTGCCACCCCTTCCCTCTCTAAGGAGGAACAGGCATGGATTTTACATGAAGGACCTGCAGAGCTGCCCAGTCTCTAGACCCCCAATACCCAGGATGTGCTGGAATGCATTATCCCAGCAGCCACAGCCCTTGGAGTTTCTTCCAGGCAGCCTTTAACTCCAAGTTGAACAGTTGCTATCCCCTTCCCAGTCCACCAGCTGTCAGTCCTGAAGCCCAGCCTGCTGCAGGTAAGACCACCCCGATACAGCCCTCCCCAGCCTCAGGCCAGAGGGAAGCAGGGTTTGGGCAGTCCTTCCCAAGCAGGGTGGAAAATCGCAGTCCCTCAACACGAGGAGCTGGGACTTACCCCTGTGGAGCAGCACAGCACCAAATCCCCATTGCTGTGGCTGGGTGCATACAGGGGGTGCAGGCATTACTCTGCAGTTACTCCAGGTAGCAAAGGGCTCCTTAGGTGCTGTTTGTGCTGAGCTCAAACCTAGCCTTTTGACCCATGAGATTAATCCCATTAATCTAATGACCATGGGTTTAATCTGCCCTTTAACTCGTGGGACTTCCAGCTCTCAGTGGCTTCCCCCACGTGGCCCTGATCTGTCCCTCTTTATCACAGCAACACAGTCACAGCCCTGAGGGACGTGTCCCACTCCCGAGGCCACGATCCACACAGCAGCCTCCCAGGGCCAGGAAGGACAGGCTGGAGGAGAGGCTGTCCCCAAACACAGCACTCGGCAGCCTCCAGACCCTGCACGATAACCCCGGACTTTCTGCCCTATGGCAAAATCTTTAGCATGTTTTTTTTCCTATTATTTAGGCTACAGCAACATGATCTGGACTAACAGAGAGGAGAAACCTTGGGTGTGAACAGGGCAGTGACACAGTTGTCTGTGCTCCACTGCAGTTAAGCCACACCAGATGTCACCCCAGTTTTGGGACCCCAGGACCTTTTTCCTGACACAGATACTGAATCCAGGGCCTTGTTCCAACCCTGTCCTCAGCATCAGGATGTCATTTTGGGGAGCTGGAGCCTGGAACGGCCCCAAATTCAGGCCATGACACTGGATGGAGAGCAGGATCTGCCTGGAGGGCAGCAGCCAGTGCTGGGGGAGACCCCATGGCCAGAGCACTGCAGCTGCTCCCACACACAGGGATATATCAGGGACCCCAAGGAAAAGCAGAGGGCTAGAAGGCTGCATCCCCTGAGCTCAGCTTTGACCACCAACCAGGACAGTGTGGCTCTGCCAGCAAAAAAACCTGGGAAAGGTGGGAGAAGGACTGTGGGGCCAGCCCACATCCCCCTTGGAATTTTGTTTTGTGTGTACCTTGGTGGATGCTAACAAATGAAATCCATCACGAGGAAGGGATAGGAACCACTTCTGCCTCCAACAAAGCACCTGAAAGGGAGCAGTAGGGCAGACATAAGACTCACAGACTCTCAGCCAAAGCCAATTAAGTTGTTTTCCAAATTAACTGCAGTCCTGGAGCCTGGAATGCCACTAGCACCAGAGACGACCACTCAGGTTCCGGGGCAAGTACTGGCCAAGGAAACAGCTCACCACCCTCCAGCAGCCCTGCCTAGCACCAAAAACACAGCCTCTAAGACTTCCGAGATGTTGAAAAGGCCTTTTCCTACAGCAGAGCAGCCACTCACTGAGAGACTCTAATTAAGAGACACATGGGCAGGAGCGGATGCACTTCAGGGTTGCTGTAGCACACCTTAGAGCCCTTCAGGAGCAGCCACGCATTCAGCGGCTTTGCCTGGCTGTGAAGTCCTTGTTCCCTGAGAATGCCAACACGGACACCAGCAGTGGGCCTGGAATGCTCTCCATGCTGCGTTCTCCAGCTTCTTCCGGCAGCTGGAGCCCTTTGTGCCCCCTCAGCCTGAACCCTCAGCCACGGCCACTTTATGTCTGGCACTGGCAAGCAGGAAAATCCCTGGTGCATTGACTCTCTAAAAACACTGGACTCATGGCTCCCTCTGGGATGATGAGCCTGTAATGATTCTGTTGGTATTGCAGAGCCCCAGCTCCCCCACAATGCAAAGCCAGTGGAACAGTTGATAAACTTGGGAAGAGAATCTACTTCCACCTGGTTTCCCCCAGAGCTGGCACACAGCAGCACAGTCATGTAACAGCTTGTCCAAAGCAAATAGCAAAAAAAAATAGCAAATAGCTGGAGCTTACTGAGAGCTGTAAGCAGAGGCTGAGTCAAAGGTGGGACCCGAACGTCACACGTACGGCTGGTTTCCTTCTGAGTAATTTTCCCTGCACTTCTCTGTGTTGTTTCCTTTGGGATACTGAATATACGCGAGACACTTTGGGAAACACCTTCAGCTAACTCCATTCACAGCCCCTTCTTCCTTCTCCAGTGTCCCCAGAGAAGCTCTACAGCAAGAGCACTAACTGAAATATAAAATTCAAGACAGTGACTCATTCAGAACTTGATTATGGAAGTTCCCAGATGGGCACGGTCTCACCACGCTGCGCCTCTCCACACGCTGCACCTCTGCTGGCTTTTCACCCCATCTTTCTGTCCTTCAGCCAAAGCCCTCATCGAGATTTTCCAACTTTTCAACCTCCCTCCAAAGGAAATATTATTGTCCTTTTTATTTACCAAAGGAAATCTGGATATTTTTACATGAGTGACCAGCACAGGGCTGTGTGCAACGCCCTTGCACCACGTACCTCTCCAAAACTTCACCCTCCCTAATTTTTCTCCTTGTTTTCATCACCCTTCTAAAAAGGGAAATCACTTCTATGTTCTCTGGCTTGTTTTGTCTCCACACCGTTTCACCGTTCCTCTGCCCAATGAGTCACCTTCCCCCCCGGGTCGGTCTTTCACACATTAGCAAAGGAGAGAAGGAACTGCTGGAAAAAGAAATATACTGGGATTGCCTAATGGCAGCTGCAGAGGAACCCGAGCAGGAGCTGGGGGGCAGCACGGCTGCTTCAGAGCCTCACCAGAACCAAGAGCACCTCAGCAGCCTGGGACACGGGCACAGCACATCCCATCTCCCACGGGGTTTGCACTTGGATGTCAGACACGGGATAGGCAGGATTGCTGCCAGCCCTAAAAAAAAGTCTCGAGGGGGTAACCTGTGCAGGGGTGGGCACTGACACCCACCTCCTCCAACTCCCTGCCTCTGGAAAGGAGTTTCATAAGGAGTGGGGAGCACACACCAGCACCCTGTAACACCCCCAGCCCAGCCACAGGGCACAGCACAGCCCCTGGCCACAGCACCCCACGACACGAAGCAATATTCGCAGCAGGGTTTCTCCTGTGGACAAATGCATGTGCCCAATGCATCCCTCCCACCGTGGGTGTTGTGCGGGCACAGCGTGCACCAGCATTCCAGCCATCTGCCATCTGCTTTAGGTTTTTCCCCCATCCCTGAACAGCCACCTGAGGCAGGATGAAGTTATTAATAACACATACACGCCGCCGTTAACCATCAGTGCACGGGCAGGTGGGTTATTCCTACCGACTTCTCCGGAGCTTAATCATCTGGGACAGGGATAAAACCGTCGCACACCCACGGCACCCGCGGCATCAGACCCCACTTTTATCGGGCAGCTCCGTCAGCTCAGGCTGGAGGGAGAAGGTGATGAATAAGCTATGCCAAATTCACGGAAAGAAAACAACCTGTGGTCGATCCGGGGTGTGTGTGGGGGGGATGTGGATCCCATCCCATCTCCATCCCCATCTCCATCCCCATCTCCATCCCACTCCCATCTTCATCCCCATCCCTACCCTGTCCTCATCCCCATGCCATCGCCATCGCTGCCCCGTCGAAGATGCGCGGGGCAGGAACATCCCGGTCCCGCCGCTCCCCGCGACGGGGCGGCCCCGCGGGCACTCACCGTCGCCGCCGCCGAGGCTCTCCCGCAGGAATTGCCCGCTGGAGAGGTGCTGGAGCCCGAAGCTGCGGGCGATTCTCTCGCACACCGTCCCCTTGCCCGAGCCGGGGGGCCCCAGCACCACGGCCCGCAGCAGCTTGGAGGCCATTCCGGCTGCCGGAGCCGTGCGGGGCAGCACACGCGTCAGCCTCCCCAGCCCCGCGCCCGCCGCTCCCCCCGCACCGCCCGTACACATCAGCAGGGCGGGGGGAGCCCCGCGGCCGCTCCGCTCCCGCCGCCCGCCCGCCCCCTCGGGCCGCGGCACCCTGGGACTTGTAGTCCCGCAGCCGCCCGCGCAGCCCCGCGGCCCGACGGGGCCCCCGCGGCTCTGCCCGGCTGGGCTCGGCTCGGCTGGGCTGGGCTCGGCACGTCCCGGCTCGGCGCGGGGCGGGCACAGCGGCGGGAGGTCCCGGAGCCCATGGAAGCGGCTCCGCGGGATCCCAGGGCACGTCCTGCACGCCCGGCACGGCCGTGCCCGCAGGGAGCCGGGGGGGCCGCGGGGGACCGCGACCACCGGGGCGGACACAGCGGGGCGGGAGCGCACGGGCTGCGGACACGGCCGGCAACTGCAGCCCGCGATGGTACCGGTACAACCTGTGGAGGTACAGCCTGCAAACAGCCGGCAAACACACAGCCGGGGAAGGCACAACCTGTGGATGCACAGCCGGAGAAGGCACAGCCCGCAGAGGATGCACAGCGTGTAAACAGGCTGAAAATGGTCGCACATACACGGCGCGCGATCGCAGCTGCACATGCACAGCCCAGACAGAGACCGCAAAGCACAGCCCGCGGTGCTCAGGGGCTGGTGGTACCGCGGGGGGTGGTGTGTGTGACTCCGTGTGTGTGTGCCATTCCCTGTGTGTCTCTGTGTCATTCCGTGTGTGTGTGTCACTCCCAGCGTGTGTGCGTGTTTGACTCCATGTGTCCGTGTCACTCCCTGCGTGTCACTCCCAGTGTGCGTGTTTGTGTCACTCCCTGTGTGTCTGTGTCACTCCGTGTTTGTGTCACTCCCTGCTCTGTCCGGGTGGGCTCTCCCCCGTGTCTGTGCACGGCCATGCCCGTGCACACGCGTGTGACACTCGTGGGCGCCGCTGCCGCGGACACCGCGGAGGCCGTGCCGGGGCCGTGCCGGGGCCGTGCCGGGGCCGCGCTCCCGCGGTGCCCCCGTGCCCGCGCGCGGGGGCGCGCACCGCACACACCCCTCCTCCTCCCCCCCCTCCCGCGCGCGCCCCCGCGCCGCCCCCGGAAGCGGGCGCGGGTCACGTGCGCGCGCGGCGCTGCCATAAACACGGGAAGATGGCGGCGCTCACGCTCCCGCCGCCCGTGCTGCGTCATGGCGCGCCCCGGCCCCGCCGGCCCGCAGGTGGGTCCGGCCCGGCGCCCGCACGGCTGGAGCGGGGCGGGGGGCCGGGCGGGGGGGCCGCGGGGCCACTGGGGCCGGCCCGCGCAGCTGCCCCGCGCCGCACTCGCGCTCTCGGTGTGGGCGCGGGCGGGGCCGCCGCCCCCCCTGCCCCGGGTGGGTCCCGGCCGGCGCCGGTGAGGGGCGAGGGGAGCGGGGCTGGGGCTGCGCCGCTTCTTGTACCATCCCGTCCCGTCCTGTCCCGCGGCTGTTCCAAGGCTCCAGGTAACCCCAGGAAGCGCCGTGGAAGGAAACTTGGGAGGGAGCGGCGGTGGCGGCCCGGGGACCTGCCGGGGTCCCTCACCCCTCGTAGCCCCGCCGCCGCGGCCGTGTCACCGTCTTCGCTCGTAACGAGCTGTTTGTTTTCTCTCCTCTTCAGGCTCGCAGAGATTTGTGTTAAGATCGCGCTGACCGAGATGGAAATCAGGTTTTCTACCCGAGCTTCTGCAGGGTGAGAGCAGCTGGAGGATCCTCGAGCTGTGCGTAGGGGTGGGGAGGGACGAGCCTTGGGGCTGTGGCCAGGGAGCATCCACAATCCCAGCGGTGTGGTGCTGAAGGAATTTTGGTTCGTGTGAAACAAGTGGAAAAACCAGGTATAATCGCCGGCCCCAAAGGGGCAGGAGGTGGAGCTGGAGTTTAAAACCCAGCCAGGCCAACTTAGGAGGGTTTCAAAGGCAAGAACTGGCAGCAAACACTGGAAACTAGAGGATTTTTTTTAAAAAAAGCATATGGAAATATGCAATGCCTTAGCAATAACAAGAACAAAAATGTGTGCTAGACTCCAAAACTAATGTGGGTTTTGCTGAAAAGGGTGTTTTTTTTCAGATAATAATGGAGAACCTACATAACCTTTCTGCATCAGGTTTGTGTAGCTTTAGTTTGGCTGAAGCAAAGCAAAAATCAGTGTATGTGTGTGTGCGTGTGTTAGATGCAAGACAACAAACTGTTTGTATTGGTGTAAGAGCTGAATCCTCTAGAGAAAATGGCACCAGCCCTTGGAATACATGTGTAACTCCAGCAGTAGTTGTGCCAGAAGGTGCTGGGATTGTTCGCCTTCTTTTAAATGATGTGATAGGAACTGCTGGATCACGGAGGAAAATCTGAATACAGTGATCAAAGCATAGTTAAATTGCAGAATGGTGACTCTTCTCTCATCACCTCAGCCTGTGAAATGTAGGATTCCCAGTCCTACACTTGTGCCATTCCACTGAAATCATTAGAATTTTTCACCTGGAACACCAATGGTGTTGTAAAAACATCTCAAAGTGAGAGCAAATGGTTCATTAGCTATGCAGCTTCTTTCCTTTTCAGAAGTCACCGTTGTATGTACAGAATTTATTATCGTTTTTAGCAGATTCTTTGTTGTTTTTCCCTACCAACAGCCAATCCCTTAATGATTAATCCACAAACTGTGGCAAATCTGCAAGTTTTGGGATGCATGTTTAAGTCATCTGTGTCATCTTACGTCAGTATTGCATAATCTGTTGACTGTCCCCTTTTTATGTAATGTATGTTTGGAGTTTGTTTTAAAATGTACAAATATTTTTTTTCCCCTGCGTGCTGCTCCTTGGATATTCCATGTTTGTCTCTCCATTGCCCTCTGGAGTTACAGACTTGTAAGGCACCATTTTGGTGGCTGGATCCAGCAAATGTTACGTATTTCTCTCTTAAAAACAGTCTTTATGATGGTCTCAGGACGTGTTCTTTGCCAGGTGAGTTATTTAGTGTTAAAAAAACCACTCCTGGAGTTTCTGCTTCCTCCTGGTGGAAACATTAAAGCGACTTGTGCTGGTCAAGTCCATCCACATCATAAATGAACTTTTATAAGAAACTTAGTAACATATTAACTTTTACAATGTAAAACTGTTGTTGTTTTATAAACCCATTTCAGAACTTAAGGTATCTGATTCCCTTAGGCAAAGTGGGGGGTGTAGAAGTTGTTCCATGTTGTTTTCAGCAATGCCTGTTTTTAGGGAAGAAAAAAAACAAAGCGGGATAAAGTATAGGTTGATAGAAGCTTGTAACTTAGCTACTTTGCAGTGGGATTGTGTATTTCCCAATTTTATATGTGGATCCTATGACCTAAAATTGCCAACTTACCTGGCTGGCTGCCATGGTACTCCCTGCCTGTCTGGTCCATGACATTCAATACTTGAGTAGCATAAGCCAAATGCTGCTGTGTGGCTCCAGTGGATTTAAGGTGGAAGAGAGGGGTGCCCCTGTTGTTTTGTAGAGGTGTGGTTACACCGTCTCCATTAAATCCAGCGTGGGTGGATTTGGCCAGAAGGAGCTGCTACTAAAAACACTTTGAGCTGTGTTGTGGAATCCAACCTGGTCATTAAGATAACACTAATTATCTGGATGATTTTCTGGAGTAAACCTCAGTCATGTGGATAATTTTCTGGAGTAAACCTCAGCTGCAAAGCCACTGTGAAATGCTTTCCCCTGAGGGGTGATGTGGGGTTTTTGGGAGACGTGAGGGATGAGGAGGTGGAGGACATGCCTGTTGGGCTTGGCAGTGCCACGGAGGGGCTGCAATGACTGACAGGCTGCCCTGGCTCAGTTATCACAGTGCTGATGCTGTCTCTTGTAAAGGTACAGTACTGTGATAACTGAAGGATGGCAGCCATCTGAGCTTCACGGGATCCCGGGAACGACAGCCTGCTCACCTGGAGTGTGCTCCTTTTACCTGTGTCCTTGGGCATAAAAATACAATTTATCTGAATAAAATATTACACAGTTTGCCTGTTTATTGACTACTTTGTCTTGGGAGGTCTTCCAGAAATGCTGTGCTTTGGGAGTCTGCAAAAATGGTTCCCAAAGCAGGGTCCTGTGCTGTGGTGAATATTAAAGTGCAGAAGGGCAGCTCAGTGGGTGATACTTGGTAGCAGAATTAATTACTCTGTAGCAATACAGAAAACTGAGCCCTATTTAGGTACTTTTTAATATGTCTTGGCTGGCTACTGTAACTCTTACAGGTCTATGTGGTGGGGCATGGGTTATTTCACAGTCTCGGTGATGGAGCTGGGACAGTCCCTTGCTCGGGGCTTCTCTGACCTGTAAGTGGGAGACTGTGAATTTCCCGGGTCATTTCTGTAGCGATGTCATCAAAATCCCTGGAAAGGAGGAGTTGTCCAGGGAGCCTGTGCTGCTGACTGATGTTTGTGCTGCGTGAATTAACTCTGCAGTGCTGGGACACGACGGCAGAGGGGCCCCGCGGGCCGGATTGTGGTGGGAGTGTGAAATCCCAAGTTTTTTGCATAAAGTAATCAAGAGACCTGCAGAGACGTTAATGCGGTTTCTGTTTCCCAGCTTCCCGCCCCTCCCCGATGAACTGGTGGCCCTCAGGCTGCCAGGGCTGGTGCAGCAACTTCTAGAGGTCACAGTTTATTCCCCATCCCGACGTTTAAGGTGGTCGTTGACCCAGTGGTGTTTAGAAAACTCTTCCTTGTGGGCTGGGTGATTCATCACCCTCCAGGGCTTTACCCTGTGCAGCCCCAGCTGCTGCTCCTGGGAGAGGACAGGGGTTAGCTGCAAGATGAAATGAGCTGGTTTGTTATTTCTCTGCTCTTCACTGGAAGGTGTTGGGGGCAGCCCGTGCTGGGGGCTGTTCCTGTGGGCCCTGTGGGGTCGAGGCTGTGCAGCTGTGATGGAACATTTTGCCAACGTGCGTCACTTAGGTGGGGAAAATATTACTGGTATTATGAGAGTGGTTCGAGTCTGGTTCTGGAGGAGGGCTCTGTCACACCAGAAACTGCAAATGATAAAAGAGACATCCTGCTACCAAGAGTTTAAGTTCTAGATTAAAATCTGAGAAGAGTCAACCCTCAGCTTCCTTTTTCCGAAGGCTGCAGGCACCCCTTGACCAGAGCAGGGATGTGGTTATCCCGAAAATTAAAGCTGGTCATCTCTACATTTGGCTGTACAACAGCAACATGCCTGTGCTCCTCCTCCATGTCCCAGGGTCTCATTCCAGTTACAGGATAAATAGGAAAAAAGAGGAGCTCTGGAATTTTGGATTGGGAGCATTTGTAAGCTTGCAGGCTGCCCAGGTCTGGGTTTCATCTCTTTCTGCCTGTGTCTGCTGTTGGCTTTGGATCCAGCAGGCCCTCAGGAAATAGGCATCCCCTTTCCTGGAAGAAAAGCAGGTGCCATGGGGTTTTGAGTGGGAAGCAGCATGACATCCAGCCAGGTCCTCGTGGTGCCATCCCAGGGACAGCTTTGGGTGTTCACTGATGAAATAGTCAGGGTGCTGACTCCTACTAGAAACCAGAAAATCCTTTTCCTTCCCGTGAGAAACAAGATAACTGCTCAGAGGCAGAGAGAAGGTTTGTTATGGATCAGGTCCAAGGAATATGGTTCCTCACCTGCCAGGCTATGGATCAGGTTTGAAGTTAATGACCAATCCTCTCGCTTGGAGGGACATTTAGCACAGCTGCTCTGTGCACTGAACACACCCTGGTGCTGCTGAGGGAGAGCAAAGAGCCTGCTGGGGTGACATGTGCCCCTGGCTTCACATCGTGATTCTTGTTTCCTATCACAACAAGCACAACCTCGAGCTCTGGCATGGGACAGGAACTGAAACACTGGCTGTTCCTGAAAACAACAGCTCTCCACTCACATTTAGCATTTATCTCCCTTTCCAGCACAGTGGACATAGAATCCGTCTCTTTGTCCTGTAGCTTCCCACTGATATGGGAAAGGGCAGACTGGTGGTTTTGCTACATCTAAATATTGCTGCACACGAACAGTGCAAGTATCGAAGTGTGTTTTGGCAGCAGAGCACTTCCTCCCACAAACGCGTTAAAGCAAGACATAAACAACCTGCATCCAGTGATATAGGCTCAGAAATAAGGTCCCTGAGGACCATCCGTTTTCTGATAAAACTTGCTGTAATTTATGGGATTGATCCCAAGGCAAGGCAGTTTTCTTTTGGCACGTCTCAGCTGTCATTCCAGATGGGTTTGTTCTAACCCAGTGGTTCTCAGGCGCTTTCATTAGGAAAGTCCCTTTTCCCATCTGGAGGCTGTCACCTTCCCACCCACATTTTGCATGAGAAGAGCAGCAGTTGTGCTCCTTGGGGCTGCAGACAGGAATGGCTGTTCTGTTCCTGGCTCTCATCCACAAATCTGCCTTTTAAGGATCGAAGTTTGTGCTGGTTGGGAACAGAGCTGGCCAGCCACTATCAGCTTCTGACAACAGCAGGATAAAAGGCATCCACTGTCTGCCAGCACTCAGCCTTGAAACCAGGTAAGGATGTTGCCTTTCCCAAAATGCTTTAAAAAAAAAAAAAAAAAAAACCAAAAAACAACCCTTGTTTTATTTGTACTAAAGTAAAAAGAATCTTTCCCAAAGACCTTCAAGAACTCAGTCATCATTTCAAAGTACAGCAGTGCCTCTTATAAATCAGGCTGTATTTTAGTTGCTGTCTCCAGCTTAGTGCAGACACTTGAACTTTAACTCAGACCTTCTTGTTTAAACATCTTTACAAAGCAAGCAGCCCACTCGTGCAAATATTAGATGTACCAGAATGTAACTTGAGTTTAGGTCAGGGTAAGCAATTTCTCGGTGTGAGCCTGGAGATGTTGGACAAAGTGAAATGAAGACTGTGATGGAGTCTGTGTGATCAGAAATGTCACCAGCTCAGCCATGTGACATTCTTTTCTCCAGGTGCAAAGGTATATTTTTGGTGTTCCAGCTCCCAAAACCTGCTCAGTTAGAGCACCTTGCAAAATGTCATGAGCTTAACGAGAATTCAGCAATACTCGTTCATTACAAATATGCTCAGCTCACCTATGAGGATATTTTCACTTTCTTGGAGTAAAATCGACTCCATGTGTTGGAGCTGCATTCCCGCTCACTGTTCTCAGGGGAGCACTGTGGTGACATTCCTGTTCCTGTTTCCAGGTGAGGGGCCCTTTCGCACTCCCTGCAGTAACACTAATGGCAAGTGCACCTGTCTGTTACTGGGAAAAATAGTGCCCAGGAGTCCTGTGTGAACAGGGGGGGACACAGTCCCTTCTCCTTTCTGCATAAACTATTTCTGCCTGTTTCTCACATTCTGGAGAAAACTACTCACTGAGTTGTTGGATTATTTGTAAACCCTGCATTTTTGTCATTAGCTTGATTCACCAAGGGAAACTGTGACTGTATTTGGTGTGTAATCAGGGACAGAGGTACTCATTAGGAGATGAGTGTTTCAGTGTAGTGCAGTACCAAAGTTTCTGCAATCACTTCTGTATATGGACAGATGAGAAACTCAAGGTTGCGCAACTTGGTACATAATTTGCTCTTCATAACATTTCACAGGAGTAGGAGCAGGGCATGGGTCTATGTGTGGATTAATATACCCTTATACAAGATCATTTATTGTTGGGCAAATGTTACAGCCTTTCTGGGACCAAACACTGCTAGAGCCAGAGGAAGGACCCCTCTTGACTCCAAAGGGCTTTGGCTCACACCTGTTCAAAGGTGAAATTCAAATTCCAGTCTCAAGTTCCTCCTTGACTTCAAGAGGATGAGAGCTGTGCTTAGTCTGGAGATTTTTGATGTGCAGGGAGTGGGAAAAGCCTCTTCCAGCCATAGCAGAAAACAAGGAAGAAAGAGATGAGGATGCTGGGGCTGTTCCTTGGCAGGTGGTTATCAGTGCTCCCTCTGCACAGCCTGCTGCCTCCTCCCCACGGTGAAGTGAGAACTCACTATCGACTGCCCTCTGTTTTAATTAACTCCAGAAGCAGGCAAAGTACACTGAATAATGCAGGAGAGACATGTGTTTAAACATTTGCACAAGCTTCAGATTCCTCCTACCTAAAAATAAGTCTGTGAGAGGGCAAATGATTCCTGTTAGAGGTGTTGGTGGATGGACAACAGCCATGGACCCCATCCCAACACCCAAGAAGACACCATCCATGGGTCTTGTCCTTGCTGCTGGGACCAACCTGGGGCTAATGCTGGTGGGAAGTTCATGAAAATGAGGTGAGGGCTGCACACACAAGGGCAGCACCAGCACAGGCAGTTTGGGTCTAGTAGTAGCAAAGAGCCTTGGAGAAAGGGCTGGTAGAAAAGCAGGTGGGGTCAGTAACAGATCTGAGCATTAGTGGTTTAAATGTTACAGGTGTGGCTGTTTTCCATAACTGGGAGTCTCACCTCCTGCTTTTTTTTTTTTTTTTTTAATAAAAAGAGCATGACTTTAACAAAAACACACAAACGAAAAGGTGTCGGTGTTTTGGAGCACCAGAGCAGAAGCGATTGTTCCAGAGGGAAGTAGATGAGAAGGACTCAGTAATTTTCCTGTGGAAGCACGCGGATAAAGGCTGTGCTGGTGTAGATGGACACAGATCAGCAGAGACAACGTCAGAAGCTCCATGATCATGTTTTTCATGTGTGGCCACAATTACCTGCTGATCTGGCATATTTCATATGCAAGCAGTTTCCTTAAACGTGTTGGCTCACATTCCCAGAGTGATAAAAAAAATCATGTTCGAGAATAATTTCCTCCTGCTGCAGAACAACCACATCTCCAGACAATATGCGACACCACCCCTCAAGCATCCAAAGCCTCGTTGCATTCTGGTTTGAAATGTAGTGCTCCAGGGGACTCTCTAAATTAAAATTTCCAGAGGCTTATTGCTAATGAAGCCTAATTAATTTTGGATGTAAATGTACCAAGCTTCTGCAATTGCATTTGCATCTCCATTAAAGGAAAACTCATTTTAATCACAATCCATAGTGGATGTTTTATCTGAAAATTAT